ACTATCAACCAGGTTTACCTAATAAATATTTATAAACCACTCCATTCAATGGCAACAGAATACATTCATACAGATCATAGTCTGACCCATTAAAAAACCCCAATAAATTTAAAAGGATTCAAGTCTTTCGAAGTGTGTTCCCTAACCACAATGGAGTTGCATGTAAATCAATAACAGAAAGATCTCCAAAAAAAAATCTCAAATAGTTGGAAACTAAACTACATACACTTATATAACCCATAGGTCACAGAAAGAAAACAAAAGAGAAATTATGGAGTACTTGAACATGATGAAAATGGGAACAGTGAATATCATTTTTTTTTTTTGCAGAATTCTTCTAAAGTAGTGCTTAGGGGAGACTTATAGTACTAAATAGCTTTATTAGAAAAAAATCTCAGATCAATAATATCAGCTTCCACCCTAAGTAACTAGAAAAAGAAGAGAAGATAAAGTACAAAGTCAGTAGAATAATTAAACTAATGAAGCCCATGGAGAAATCAATGAAATATAAAACTGAAAACAATAGAGAAAAATCAATGAAACCAAAAGTTAATTCTTTAAGCAGATCAATAAACTTCTAGCCAGACTGACTAGGCAAAATAAAGGAATAACATAATTTGCTCAGCACCATTCATTAATCATTGCAGAAATGCAAAACAAAACCATAATAAGATACCACCATACCCCTATTATAGTGACTAAACTTCAAACTGCCCATATCAAGTATATGAGGATACCTGGCAGTTGGAACTCAAATACAGCTGGTGGGAATATAAAGTTACAAGCACTCTGGGAAAGAGTTTCTTAAAGGTTAAACCTTTAAGAACTGTTACACAGTTCTTACTAAACTGTTACAGTTTCTTAAAAGGTTAAACCCACACCTACCACATGATTTAGTCATTCCACTCCCAGGCTTTTTCTCAAGAGAAATGAAAGCATATATCCACACAAAGATTAGCACACAAAACTCATAGCAGCTTTATTTGTAATAACCCCAAACTGGAAAAAAAACAAAACCCAAACGTTCATCAGTGGGCAAATAGATAATCAAACTATAGTATATCCATGCAAATGGAATACTACTCAGCAATAAAAAGGAAGAAACTACTAAGACATTACAACAAGAGTGAGTCTCAGAATAATGACATGAATGAAAGGAGTCAGATACTCCCAAAGAAGAGCACATACTGTATGATTTCATTTATATAAAATTCTAGACAATTCAAACTCATCAGCTGCTGCTGTTGCTGCTAAGTCACTTCAGTTGTGTCCGACTCTGTGCGACCCCATAGACGGCAGCCCACCAGGCTCCCCCGTCCCTGGGATTCTCCAGGCAAGAACACTGGAGTGGGTTGCCATTTCCTTCTCCAATGGGTGAGAGTGAAAAGTGAAAGTGAAGCCACTCAGTCATGTCCAACTCTTAGCGACCCCATGGACTGCAGCCCACCAGACTCCTCCCTCCATGGGATTTTCCAGGCAAGAGTACTGGAGTGGGGTGCCATTTCCTTCTCCATCAAACTCATCTACAGAGGCATAAATCAGTTATGTCCTAGAGGAAAGGAATGAGAAGAGGGTCAGGAGGGAGGGAGGAATACAATGAGGAAACTTTGGAGGCATGATAGATGTGTTACTTTTTCCTGAATGTAATGATGGTACCCAGGGGTATCCATAAGTCAAAACCTATCAAATTTTCCACTTAAAATATTTGTAATTCATTGCATGACAACTATACCTTAGTTACACTGTTCAAAAAAGTAATGGACAAATATGAATAAATACATAAACAAAAGGTTTGTTTCTTACCAATAATTCACACTAATCAAGATAGGAGATGCTAATTTACCTAGGGCTTGGAAACAACATCAGTGAAGGTTAAGGGGGTCCATTTGAATTTACTATGCCTCAAACTAACCAAAGATACATCCCAAGTTTAGTTTTTTATAAACTCATCAAGAAAACCAGATGTTGTGTTTCCAACAAATCATTTACAATAAAAAATATCAATCTAGGATGTTCTCTTCCCAATATCTATACTAGTTCCATATCTATAATAGTAGTAACTCTAGTTGGGAGATTTAGTCTGTACAGTGTAAATTCTGTTGCACCCTGGTCTCGTGTTTTACACAATCAAATGAGAACACATTGGTAGGACTTAAGATCTTTCCATTTGTGGTCCAGACTGAATAGAACAGACAATTTCTTTTTTTAATTTTTTGAAATGCAGGTGTATTTTGGCCAAAATAGACACAGCTCAATGCTATGTTCCCTCAATATTACTGGATATTTTCGTACATTCTAATGATTTTTCTTGCTGTGTTTAAACTGATGTCAACCAAGTTTACTTCCAGTTTTGACCATATCTCTGGTCTAAGAACATATATACCCAGCTGCATTCTGAATATCCTAATTTTCCCAACACTCAGACGCACCATCTTCCCACACACCTAAACTAGTCCCTGCCCCATTAGATCCAGAATTAACAAACTAGGTACGTGCAATTCCATTATGACTATTGCTCTTCTGGGGCTTCCCCAGTGGCTCAGCAGTAAAGAATCCGCCTGCAATGCAGGAGATGCAGGAGATGCATGTTCGATCCCTGAGGGGGAGATAACCTGGAGAAAGGCAATGCAACCCACTCCAGTATTCTTTCCTGCAGAATCCCATGGACAGAGGAGCCTGGCAGACTGCAGTCCACAGGGTCACAAGGAGTGGGACACGACTGAAGCAACTGAGCATGCATGCATAGCTTTTTTTAACAGTGAAGCAAACTATATATTATGCTGGGTTATTTCTCAATTATGTCCTACAATTTATTATTAAGGATTGAGACTTTCTAATCACTTAAGCCCAAGCCCCACGGAATCAAAGATGACACAAATACAACCATTGAGGAACTGCCCCCAGGACATGGTACCATGCCAGTCTGTCCCAGCTACAGCTGTGACTCCCTCTGAAATTCAGTGCATGGAAAATGGGAAAAGAATATACTGCTGGAGAGAGAGCTAAAGTAAGGCACATCTGGTTCCAAGCCTTCTATTTCAAACAGAGTTTTTAAAATGCATGAGATCCTTTGTGTTATTATTTCAATCCTGCTCACTTTCCTAGGGGAGAAATAAATCCCTCTTCCTGTCTTGTAATCTTTCCATCTACAGAGAGCATACACATATTTTTTAAAACCTTAAACTGAAGTGATTAGGCCAAGTACCATCGTAACATGCAAAGTCTCTGAAATACACAACACACTTAAATAAATTCACATTTATGTCCCTCTAGAGCATCATAGAAAGTTAGCAACGGCACAACTTCGGTGAGTCTGTAAATTGGTGTCTTATTTACTTAGACATCTTTAAACATGTCTTCAGTATTTAGTGTCTTGTACTTATATGTACAAATATCCTTTGTTTGCAAAAAATCTTCAGAAGTGTCACAAAAATTTTATTGACTGTGTGTGTTTTTACGGATTTGCTTGGTCTGCATGAAGTGTTCTCTAGCTGTTTTATGTACACATTTATGTTGCTGTCTCTCTTTACCTGGGGAGACTCAGAAATGTCGGTTCAGTCCCTGAGTCGGGAAGATCCCCTGGAGAAGGGAATGGCAACCAACTGCAGTATTCTTGCCTGGGAAATCCCATGGTCAGAGGAACCTGGTGGGCTACAGTCCATGGTGGGATCCTGGTGGGATCGCAAAGATTGGGACATGGCTTAGCAACTAAACAATATCAACTCTCTTTAGACATTGAAACAGAAACAGCATTGTAAAAGGCTTTGGAATCAGCCACAGTGCCACCACCTTCCTGGCCCAGACGGGATGCTGGGCCCTCCCTCGTCCTGTTTCTCCCAATAGAACACAGGGATGGTATTCCTAGGGCTGCAGTGAGGATTAATCAAGGGAACTGGACAAGAATCCCACAGAAGAGCCCAGCACATAGTGAACATTCAAAAACACAAAAGCAGGGACTTCCCAGGTGGTCTAGCGGCTAAGACTCCAAGCTCCCAATGCAAGGGTCCAAGTTTGATCCCAGGTCAAGGAACTAGGCCCCACATGCCTCAGTAAGTGTGTGCATGTCACAACTAAAGACCCCACACGCCACACCTAAAAAATCCCATGCGCCACAACTAAGACTTGGCGCAGCCAAATACATAAATATTAAACACACACACACATGTGAGCTGACTCCTCTGGCAGTCCAGTGCTTAAGACTTCATGCTCCCACAGCAAAACAGTGGCAAAAACATTAACAAATAATAATAATAATAATAATAATAACAGAAAAACTGGAAAGCTGCTCCTGAGTTTCAAAAAAATAGCATTTTAGGGCAGGATCCAATGATTATAAATTACCTCATTACATAGTAATGTGACTGCAATGCATCCTAGCAAGAACAGAAAACTTGAAATTATTACTTGATCAAAAGAATATTTCCTAGAAAGTTAGACTTTTAAAAGAACATCATTAAAGTGAAAAGACCTAGTTTAAACTCCAGCATCGGCATGCTAATAACTAGTTCTGGTTGGTTATTTTGTTCTGACCATCTTATAGTCTGTTAAATGGACATGACCTGGAAATGGTAGATGCATGGTGAATACATAAGAGAAATTAATTAAAGGTATGGTCTACAACTGCATTTTCTATGTTTTTATGTGTCTGATAGTATAAGATCTCTTTCACTTTGAGGAAAATCCATAAAACCACTGATTTTCCCAACATGTGAGTCACTAGTCATCATATACTTCTCTCTGATGACAAACACACGGAGCTAATGTGTGGCTCCACCGGGCGTGAGTGACTTGAGAGCCTGAACTATGAAGTTCAAAGCCCATGGGGGTTCCAGGAGCGATCGGAGACCCCGTGAGAACTCATGTACACTCACAGAAAACCTGTGCTGAAAACCTCTGTGCAGTGACCACGAAACTTAAAGTTTGCTATTTTTACCCCCAAGCAAAATGCCAGGGTCCCTGATGCTCAGAGCCCTTTAAAGATGGTTTTATTCCTTTCACAGGTCTCCCGTTATGGCTGGAGGTCTCTTTGCCGTGGATCGCAAATGGTTTTGGGAGTTGGGTGGCTATGATCCAGGTCTGGAGATCTGGGGAGGAGAGCAGTATGAAATTTCTTTCAAGGTAAGCTGTCAGCACCCTTGCCACACTAGGTCGGCCTCTTTTTGACAGTTGTAATGGAATGGCGACATTTCGTTTTGTGACCTATGTTACAAATTGACATTGAAAACAGACATGTCATTTTCCCACCTCAGCTTTTGGCTGAGAGAGGCTACTTCCTCCTGAAGCTTCAGAGAGACGCAGTCATGCCATCAGAGTCGAGCAGAGGAGAAAGAGCTCGGGATCCCACTTGCAGGCAGGAGCCACGACGCGCCAGCGCCCTGCGGCTCCACCGGCAGTGCGTTCCTTCTCAGGCCCCCAGAGCAGAGAGACGGGGCAAGGAGGTGACAACAGTGGGATTACTGGAGCTTCTGCCCTTTGTGCTTGTTCTAGAGCAAACACATGTTAGGGAAGGAACTGGTAACCCACTCCAGTATTCCTGCCAGAAAAATTGCACAGACAGAGGAGCCTGGTGGGCCACAGTCCATGGGGTCGCGAAGAGCCAGACACGACTGAGCGATTTAATGATTAAATGATGTATATATGTATAACTGAATCTTTATATAATTCCAAAACAAGTGACTGTTTTATCTGAAACTACTCAGGTTTCGTTTCCACTTGCTTGGACCATAAGTACTCCTGAAATTATATACTTTATTACATATATTCTCAGTTGCTCAGCTGGGTCTGACTCTGTGACCCCTCGGACTGCAGTCCACCAGGCTCCTCTGCTCATGGGATCATGCAGGCAAGAATACTAGTGTGGATTGCCATGCACTTCTCCAGTCGAACCCGCTCTCCTGCTTTGGCAGGCAGATTCTTTAACCACTGAGCCATCCAGGAAGCCTTTATTACATATATATGCATGCATATATTCTGATATACACATATATGATATATAAATATATAATAGCATATCAAATTTCAGGATTTGTAAATGACAACATTTACTACAACGTATGAAGATCAGATAATCAAAGCAAAATAAACTATGCAAAAGGTTTTCTTTTTTCCTTTATCCTTGTCATTATTCATACAGAAGATAGTGATTCTCACAAAATTTACCACACCAAAATCTCAGTAGATAAATCAGCTCTCTTAATTACCTCTATTATAAAGTCAAACCAATTCTTGCTAAAATAAAATGTATCCTGAATACAGTAAAAGTCAAACCTAATAGTCTAGCTAAACTTTTTTAATTTATGCATAAAAGAAATGTATAAAACTGGTTTTCATTCAACTGTAATAACCATATTCAGTGTGTTAACAGAAATGTTATGTTGTCTCCAAAGTGTCATAAAATAAATATCCCCAAAGAGAAACTCAGAAGACATGACTGCAAGCTTCAGGACATCTAGAATTTTCAATCTAATTGCTGGCAATAAACCTGGAAACACTATTTACTAAATCAGTGCTTCTTTTCACCATTATTGAAACACATCTAATTTCACACTTGGGCACTATTTCCTCAAACTTCTGTACAGGTGCATTTATACCATTTATTCAATGATACAATGATTCAATGATACACAGATGCTAGGCCAAGTGCTTTACATGCATTATATATTTTAAAACCACAGCTCTAAGAAGTTGGTATTATTCTATTTTATAGATGAAGAAACTGAGTTTTAAAGATTTTTTTTTAAGTTTTAAAGATTTTTACATTAACTTTTTTAAGTTCTAAAGATTAAATAAACTACCTGGTGTTGCTTTCGGATGAAAATGCTCAGTTTGACTCAATTGCAGAGAATAGAGAAACATAAAATTGCCCCTTCACCCAAGTCATATCTGCCAACACCATTCCCAAGTTCACAGTTATATTGTTAGTCTCTAGCTAATGGTTCCACTCACTGAACAGAGGAGCGTGTCTTCATTATAGCCCAAGAGCATAGCCGTGAACTCCGTGCTGACTCTGGCAAAACACTCCTGATATCAGATGTGGTCCAAAGCTGGAAGGAATTACAATAATTCCTTCCACTGGAAAAACAGAAAATTGCATTCGACTCCAGCAGTAAAGGAAAATATAGCATTGCTACATTTGCAATATCATCAGAACTCAAAGAACACTTTTTACTTTTCACAGTTCAAGAGTTTTTTGGTTTTTATATTCTCTTAATTCATGAGTTCTTTAGGTTTAAAATGCTATTAAGAAAAAATCTGTATTGTACAAATAATAAATAGTGGAAAGGGTGTAGAGAAAAGGGAACCTTCTTAATACTGCTGGTGGATTATAAATTGCTGCAGCCACTGAGGAAACCAATACGGACAGGTTCCTTAAAAAACAAAACATTAAGAGTTGCTATATGACCCAGCATTCCCACTCCTGGGCATGTATCTGGACAAAACTACAATTCAAGAAGATACATGCACCGCTGTATTCACAGCAGCACTATTTAAAATAGCTATGATATGAAGACAACCTAAATGTCCACTGACAGAGGAATGGATAAAAATGCGATGCATATATATATATATATATATATATACAATAGAATGTTACTCAGCCATAAGAAAAAGAATGAAAAAAGATGTCATTTGCAGCAACATGGATCAACCTAGAGATTATCATAATAAATGAAATGTCAGACAAAAAGACAAGTACTGTATAGTATCACTTATATGTGGAATCTAAAAAAAAAAAGAAAGCTACAAATGAACTTATTTATGAAACAGAAATAGACTCACAGACATAGAAAACAAGCTAGTTACCAGAGGGGTAAGCAGGGAAGGGATAAATTTGGAATTTAGGATTAACATACACACACTACTATACGTAAAATAAACAACAAGGACCTACTGTATAGCACAGGGAACTATATTCAATATCTTATAATAACTTAAGAATCACCTGAAACAATGTAAATCAACTATGCCTCAATTTTTTTTAATTTATTGAACTATTATTTATTTGACTATACCAGGTCTTTAGTTGGGGCATGTGGGATCTATTAATAAATTCCCTGACCAAGGATTGAACCCAGGCTCCCTGCACTAGGAGCATGCACGCCTAGCCACTGGACCACCAGGGAAGTCCTCATACTTTTTAAAAAAGTATTTAAAAAGAAAAAAAATGGAAAAAGAAAACCTGTATTAAAGAGATACCTGACTTTGAATAAAGAACCAGGTGTAGATAAAAGGACTGCAGGAAATCTGAGAGTTTGCAGAATGGACATCTGCATTCTACATCACAGGGGTATTTTTAAGACAAATATAAACTTAAACCTCTCACGTCGCTATCACTTCTATCTATTGCTTCTTCAGGGTGACCTGGGGTTTTATTACCCCACTTCCTCTTTCTCCCATTATCTGTCATTCCGAAGGTTATAATTGGAATGCAGCCCTGCTGTCTTTGTCTAGAAACCATGGAAGCACAGCTAGAGGTTCAGGACTACATTGCCCCAGTTTGTTTGATGGGAATGCCAGATTCTTTGTCAACAGCTATGTCTTATGGGGTCCCGTTTCAGACACATCCCTCTGTCCTTCCCGCCACTGTGGGCTGACCCTGGGCTTGCTGTCCCTCTCTGTCAGAAGTTGGAACATGAGGGGAACATACTCAAGCAGGTTTTGGCAGAATTTGCATGGAAGATGATGAATATTTTCCATATGAGATAAATCAAAAGAACTGTCTACAAATAGCTCTGCTCAAAGGCATTTTAAAAAGTCAAAGAAAAATCAAATATCCATATTTGGAGAAAAAGTTAGTACTTCCCTAGTAGCTCAGTTGGTAAAGTATCTGCCCGCAATACAGGAGACCCAGGTTCGATCCCTGGGTCGGAAAGTACCCTGGAGAAGGAAATGGCAACCTACTCCAGTACTCTTGCCTAGAGAATTCCAAGGACAGAACTGACCTTGGGGTCCCTATCTCTCTCTATTAGTACTTGGAACATATGGGGGGCATACTCAAGCAGGTTTTGGTGGAATTTGCATGGAAGACGAGGAATATTCTCCATATAAGATAAATCAAAAGAATTGTCTACAAATAGCTTTGTTCAATGACATTTTAAAATGGACTCTGTGGGAGAAGGCGAGGGTGGGATGTTTAGAGAGAACAGCATCGAAACATGTATATTATCAAGGATGAAACAGATCACCAGCCCAGGTTGGATGCATGAGACAAGTGCTCAGGGCTGGTGCACTGGGAAGACCCAGAGGGATGGGGTGGGGAGGGAGGTAGGAGGGGGAATTGGGATGGGGAACACATGTAAATCCATGACTGATTCATGTCAATGTATGGCAAAAACCACTACAATATTGTAAAGTAATTAGCCTCCAACTAATAAAAATAAATGGAAAAAAAAAGTCGAAGAAAAATCAAATATCTGTATTTGGAGAAATAGTCCATAAATTGTGATTAATTTTACCATGGGAAGCACTGTCAGATGCTCACTGGTCAGCCCTCCAGGCTTGGGAGCATGTACAAACAACTGAGAATTCACCAGTCTATTTCACACCATCATAAAGAAATTGTTTCAAGTCTGAAACTTAGAAACTCTCATTCAAAAGACTTCGGTCTAAAAAAAAAGACTTTGGTCTGCATTTGTCATCAGGCATCTTTGCTTGCTGTTTGCACGTCAACCAAAGAATCATTTCACTGATGTTTACAAGATTCTGTGGCTGAATGAAAATACGTCCAGAGAAGTGTGTGTTAGTCTCTCAGTCTTCTCCGACTCTTTGTGACCATGGACTGTGTAGCCCGCCGCTGTCCATGGCGGTTCCTCTGTCCATGGAATTCTCCAGGCAAGAATACTGGAGTGGAAAAAAAAAAAAAAAAAAGAATACTGGAGTGGGTAGCCACTCCCTTCTCCAGAGGATCTTCCTGATCCAGGAATTGAACCCAGGTCTCCTGCATTGCAGGGAGATCCTTTACTGTCTGAGCCACTGAGAAAACCCGGGTGGGGGCGGGGAACCTCTGCTTTATATCAAAAGGCTGAGTTTGGGGTCAGACAGTGTTGGCTATGAGAGCACCTCAGTTGTCTGTCTATCTGAATATCTTTCCTTTTTCTAACATCTGGCGAGGTGAGGAG